GTGTGAGGGTAAAAACTGGTGAAAACCTGGGTTTTTTACCAGTGGAAAGCTCTGAAAACCATGCAAGGGCTTTGTTTCCCCAAGCCCTGTGCTGACACAAGATGCAGCAGCGAGCGTACAGAACACCACTGGTGTGCACGGGACACGCTGCAGCAGGCGTGCAGCCACGGGTGTGCCACACACACTGCAACAGCAGGGACCACTGCCGGCTGCAGCTGCTGCTCCTAAGGGACTGAATCTCCCAAGGTACTTTAGGGCCTTTCTTTATGTTTTGATCATTTATAAACTATTAAAAGCCACACAACATGTTTCTCAACTGCACCTTATTACCCATTCTGCAGGAAAAACCTGTACGAGTGCAATCAGCTGCACGCTGTGAAATGTAGGAAAACAATAAACTAATGAAATCTTCTGAGGAAAAAATCACAAGATGCTTTTGGCTCCACTTCGTTTTTTTCTTGTTCTCCCCTTTTTAAATTTGATGCCTGATACTTTTTAATTTGCCTTATGCTTAAATTACTTTCACACTAAATTTATTCTAGTCTTTACTGGAAAACTAATATAAAGTTAAAACAAAACAAAGCAACCAACCAAACAACAACAAAAAAAAACCCAAAAACAAAAAAAAATTAAAAAAAAAAAAAAAACTGAAACAAAAACATAAACAAAAAGGCCTTCTTGTTGCACACCCTTCCAGATTTTTCATACTGTGACCACAGTCTTTCTACCTTAAACTGCACAACAAAGAAAAATTTTGCAAAAATGTTTCAAAATCTGATGCTGGTGCCAGAATTCAAGAATGCACCATCCATGTCACTAATAAAAATTAATTTTCAATTTTATTCCTGAAATCACTATAAAGCTCACATCACAGCTCAGGTAACTGCAGCACTTACAAAGGTGTTTAATGCTGTTGGTTTTGCATGTAGACTTAGATAGGAGGGTCTCAGCAGATCCCAGGTCTGAAAAAATAAATGCCAGCATTGTAGTACGAAAATTACACTCCTAAGATAACACAAAGTACCAAAGGTATGTGTAATGTCTGTGAGTTTGATGCAAAATGGATCTGCAATATTTATCCAATTTTATAAATATTCCAAGTCCTTTTCTGTCATATATTAAAGGAATAATCTTAATTTTTCATTTGGTTTTCCAAAGGCATTCTAAATAATAATAAACATGTGGCATGTCAGAGATCTGCACACAGGAAAGGTTTGATAGTGCCATGGTGTTGTTAAGCAATGTATAATCAGTGCAAAAATAACTGAAAAAAGAGGTACAAAACCACAAAATTACAAATTAACGGCTAAGAAATAACTAGCCAAATACAGTGAAATTAAGTCAAATAGCACATGATAAAAGGTCTGTTGAGGCGACAATTAATAAAGTGGGATATGAAATTGTTTAACAACGTGCAAACTTACCCACAGGAAGATAAACCAGCCATTTATTAAGCATACAGATTTAAGTCATGGTATTGCTTCATGAAAGCATCACTGCTCAAATCTCAAAATATACTGCATAAAAATTTGAAAATCTTCTAAAGTGTTGAAATATTTGTTCAGTGGATTGGTTTGTCCTAGAAGATTCAGAGCTTTTCCTTCCAAGGCTACCAATTAAACCATTCTCACATTTCAAAAACTAATATTATATCTCTCCAAAGCTGTAATGAAGAGCCCCTTACCAACTTCAACTGGCTATAAAACACAAGTGTATGAAAAAGTGCTATTTGATATTGGTGCTCTATTAAGAACAGAGAAGTAACAACTCAAGTAAAGTCAATTTTAAGATAGTGATATGCTGCAATGTAAATGCTGTCATTTGTCACTCTGGACAGACACTTTAAAGAACACTCCTAGGCAGGCTCATTCTGTTCTGGCTGCTGCACACCTCCATGCCTCTCCTGACTGAGCTCTACACCACACCAGACCACCCCAGGGCACCATGGCTGATGCAATCATGCAAATGATGCAAAAAATCCTCTCCCAAGAATGAATTACTCATTTCCATGGGTAAGCCAGTCTCTGACAGGTGACCTCCTCCCCCTGAGGAAAAAAAAATTTCCCCACCCTTCTGCATGTCTTTCCTCTTCAGGCTCCACCAAAGAAGAATCTCTAGTGATCTACCTGCAATTATGATTCTTGCAAGTTATGGATCTTTTCTTCCACAGATGTGGGAAACTTTCTTGTACTCCCAAAATAGCATAACCACAGGGAACAGGCATTGTACATGTTATCAGATACCTATCTCAGTATCTCCATTAAACAGTAACTCCTTGAAAGTGTATTTCCAAGTTCACAGAACTTTTATGTCGAAACTACTGTTGGGTTTTTTTTTTGCCAAGAATGAAAACAATCCAAAATGTAAAATCTCCAGCTACAGACGAATCAAGGGAGGATATCATCTTGACACCATGTACACAGAATGGCTTGATATGGAGGTGAAGCACAGGGTTCTTCAGTGTTTGATTATAAAAGCATTTAAACTATTGCACAGCACACTCACCATATTTTAGTTTTGTCTGTGAAATTATGGACATGGAGATACTACTCTAAAGCTGGGGGAGGAGGTGCCAGTAAAACATCTTCCAGCAAAACCAAAACTCTGGAAAAAACCTGTTCCTACTATACCTAATTATAGCAGAGCACACCAGAGAAATTATACAGCAAGTGCGTGCACCACCAACTCACTGTCTCTCCCTGAACCAGATGGTGCAGTAATTTGTTCAATTTATCTGAAATTCACCTGAACTGCCTCTAAAAGTTTTTAAAATTCTGTAATGGGAGAGAAAACTTATATTAGAGAAAGCACACAAACCTAATGTTTGCCCATTCACATACGGCAGACAGGTCTCTGGAGAATGTGAGAATCTCTGGGGGAGCAGAGACAAACTGGGAGCAAATTTGCCAAGGGAGATTTATTCCTCCCTTTTCCAGAAGAGCAGGAGTATTCCATGCTTGAAAAAACTTATTTTTCAGAAAAAATATAGTAGTTTGCCACTAGTGCTGTTCGTGCTGTATCCACTTAACTTTACCTAATGGAAATGAGCCAGTTATAAGGTTGTAAAGACTTATCCCCAGGCAAGCTTTCAGGTTAAAACATGTGGGATGAGTAAGAGATGAACAAAATAACTCACCAGCTCCTGCTGAGTTTCCAGACAGCTTGAAACAGATATTTACAATTAAAAAAAGGGAAGAGATTCAGCAATTCTGATAAAATAACAATTAAGTTAGAAACTTAATTAAAAATAGGCTTTGAGGTTTTACTGGATGATGTGGCAATCTATGTATTTGCATCATACAATTACTGATGCCATATCCTTTCTTGCGGACAACCAGGCACAACGTTTAACTCTCTGCCAGTCTTATTTAACCCTTTTGCTCCTTGCAAACACATTTTACCTCATATTCATAGCTGAGAGAAATCATGTTCCACTAAAGCTATGTTAGTATAAAGAAATATCAACTGACATTGAACAAATTTGAACAAATCCAAAGAGAGACCTTCCTTGCAAAAGCAATTGTTTAGCCACCCCCACCCAAGATGAATTCATACATCCTCACGTGCAGGACCCAGAAAGATGCAAATATTTGCACCAGTTCTGTGTGCTGGTCTGCATTTGGTGGTTTGTTTGTTTTTCAAATCAAGAGACTGAAATCGTTAATTCTGGGTAAGAGAAGAGTGTGAGGTGTCAGCCAATTGCCTTGCTTCCCAAAGGGAGCAAAAACTCTATCCATAATACAAAGTCCGGTCCTTCCCTGCTTTGACAGGCATTAGAAGCGTTTCCATAGCTGGGTCACCTTGGCCCCACTCTGTGCTATTACTGTATCCCTTGGATTTCAGGGGGTTGTTAAGAGTTTCTTCCAGTATTCACCCGCTACAACGCTGACTTTAGGACACTGTACCTTCCTTCCTAAATGGATTACTAGGGCAAATACAATTACTGACAACTTTTAAGAGCAGCATCAGCATCACGTAAAGATGGGCATGGCTGGATGAAAAAAAGTAATTCTAACATGAAGTCTAGGCCTGTAGCACAATTATCAAACTGTTTACATCTTCTGTGCTACTGTAATTTTTTTTTCATAGTGGACTACCAAGTTTCCGAATTGCCTATTGCAAAAGTGAACAAATTACTGCTGAAAAGTGCTTTCCAATCTGAATTGTTCTAGTCTATGAAAGAGCCTTCATCCCACTGTTGTTCCTTTTAGCCACTGAAATACAAATAGTGCCTTTGTTAAGATCTATGCTAATAAAGACTTAAGCATTTTGATCTTCTTCCATATAACACTAACAGAGATGCCAATATGGAACAACACTACTTTTTATATTCAATCTATACACTTTCTTCTTTTAAAGAATAAGGTTACATACAAAGACTTGTTTTGATCCATTAAATCATACTTAGTTTAAACCAGCAATTACAAATTGTAACTTGTAACAAACCAAACAAAAACTGGGGAAAAAAGCTGAATTGCAGTGAAAAAAACAATCTTTGTCCTCCTGTACACCTCAGATAATATATCTGCTACAAAATGGAAGTTATTACTGTATGTACTTCACCACTGGAAATAAGATGGAAAAAGGAATGACTGACCTAGTCCACAAAATATGCTAAGTTCAAATTCAGTAAAAGTGCATTTCTTAAACTGCATACACTCTGACAATGAAAATACCTGGCTGCTAAACATCCATATGTAATCCTGATTCACTGACTTCCTTCAGCATGCAAGTGAGCCAAATAAAATCAACTGCTGATCAACACACTAAAGTGATTGCTGAAATCAGAGCCTCTGTGATACACCACGGTACTTGCAGTGACTTATTCTTGGTAGGAGCACATTAGCACCCTGATGCATGTTGGCATCCTGATAATGCCTCTCTTTGTTCTTGTTTTCCCCCCACTCCCAAACATCACAAAAGTTAAGATTCATACATGGTGACATAGCTAAACCTTTAATGCAGAAAGTGCTGGCTTATACAGGGGTCCTCCAACTTACCTGTGGCTTGGCAGAAGAGGTGGAAGGGTCCCCGGACACTAACATGCTGTGCCTGGTCACTTAGGAAAGGTGGCAACAACATGACCTTTACGGGGTCTTTGCTAGACCAAACATCAGGCTGGGTACTGGTGGGTGAAGGAGGTGAATCACTTCCCACACAGGACAAAAAGGAGGTACCAGTAGGAGGGAAAGGTATAGGAGATGAGGCTGTGTGACAGAAGAGGACAGAAAAGAAAGTAAAAGGGTACTAAGGAAAGAAGTTGCAAGAAATACATCACACAATGAAGAAATAATGCAAAAAAACAAATGAGTTTTAGAAAGGTAGTAAGAGGAAGTGTCCCTAGGCCTCAGGAGAAGAGCACTTTCCTCCTTCTCCCACGCTGTTTTTCTCCCGTCCTTCCCACCTCCCCACCCTGGGTTATAAAACCCATTTAGTTGAAGCTGAGAGGTTGCTTCAAATTAATTACAAAGTTTTTACATTCCCCCCAAGGAAATCACAAGGAACATTAGTGCTTGCCAAATGGAAAGCACTGTGTCACTGTGTCACATTTCAGAAAAGCCAAGATGTAATACAATTTATTTTAATATTTATTCTGTTATATGTACATAATTAAAAATAGAAAAATAAAACCAAACTGAATCTTATAAAATATAAACTGTTTACACTAAGATGGTCTAAATTATGTTTGCATGAAGGTTCAACACAGAAAAGCAGCCCAGGCATACTGCTATTTACTGTTAAAATGTATTCTACTTCTAGCAATATTTACAGAACAAAGCAGTGAGAGGAACAATTCTTCAGGACTGTACTGCACACATAAAATGCTTTTACAGACAAACAGTGCTGCTGTGAACCAGGCTGAGAACAAATGCACACTTTCACGTTAGCAGGAATGATTCACATAAACAGTTCAAAGGACTGATTGTTTAAGCAGCTCCAGTTTCAGTCTCCAGTTGCATAGGAGAGTGAAGGTATCATCCAGAAAGGGTGACACTGCAAGAATGTGTCACAAAAAGAAGCTGAGTTATTTCTGAATCTGAAAAGAAGAAAAAAAATCAGCAACGTTTTCTCATCAGGCTGTGTCCTAACAGTCCATTCCAGCAAGTCACCAGCTGAATTGTTGGGAGTTAATTCTTCTTGATTCCTGTTTTGCTTCCACAATGCAAGAAACCTCTTTCCTTGTCACTGCTAATTGACAGTTGCTTGCCTGTACTGTTCTATAAACTAAAGAAAAAAAAAATCCAGTTTTGTATAGAAAATAAAATGTGACTATGTCCAGCTGGCTGGCTGGTGGGGGGGAGGAAAAAAAACCTAAAAAAAAAGAGGGGAAAAAAAAATAAAAGCATTTGTTTCCTCCTTCCCCATTCCCCACTTACTCCATGTTTTGTACTGATATTGTTGTACCTACATTTCTAAAAAGCAGCAAAGAAAAGAGCCTTTAAACAAGATTATCCCTGAGTCTTACACAAATCAAGGCAATGCTATCCCCATTATACCTTAAAATCTAAGATACTTGTAGAGCAGTTAAAAAAATTAACTTTAACCAACTAAAGATACCTAGTGTGCCAAAACAAAGCATAAAACTAAAAACAATCACTAAAAGCAAAGAAAAAAAATGTCCCAATCTGGACAAAAGTCTATAATTTACCAATCTGATAAACTAAACTCAATTTCCAATTTGGAATTAAATGAAACTAGATCTTTTTTTAATGGCAACTAAAAATATGTGAAGACTGAATTACTTTTTAAAGCCAACTGAATTATAAAGTTACTTTTACTCTATCGAAGTATATGGCCAAAGAACAAGCAAGTAGCTTCACTAGAGCAAAGTGCTCAGTGGGGGGGAAAACTGGGAATACACAAGTGGTGATCTGAAACTGGCCATTTGAAAAAAACCAGAAAAAAAGACAGTACAACACAAGATGCTATGGTCTCCAGACAAGTAGACCACTTCTCTAATCTGCTGAGATCTGAACAAAAATTGGCTTGCTGCACAGCTTAAGCATGTGACCCCTGCTATGGCTTAGCTGTCACACCCAGGCTCTCCGTGCTCAAACAGCCAGCCGCAGGAGCACAGCTCACTTCCGCCGCCGAGAGGGACGCGGGCTCCCTCAGTCCCCCTCCACGTCCGAGTCGGCGTACTTGAGCTCGCACTTGACGTCGAAGGGCTTGTCCTTGGCCCCCTCGCGGGAGGCCTGCGAGTCCCCAGCCTGCAGCTGGCTGTTCCCGCAGTCGGGCTCCGTCTCGTAGCCGGTGTCGTGCGCAGGCTTGGGCTGCTCCCCGCTCTGGTGGCTGACGCTGCCCTGCTCCACCAGCGTCTCTTTCACACTTTGCTCGCAATCAGAAAAATCTGACTTCGTTTTCTTCTTGCCAAGCAGCATCACAGAGCGAAATTTCAAGCACTGCCCTGGCAAGTAGCCTTTGTAACAGTTGTAGGAGAGCAGGCACAAAAAGAGAATGAAAAAGAAGAGGAAGAGAAACATCAACAGGAAGTTATCATTTGACTTGAGGAACATTGTCTTTTCCGGGACTGCATCAGGAATTGAATTGAAGAGCTCGGTGTTGGAGGCTACACTTGTTAGGACAGGGCCAATGGGCTTTGTTAATATCCTTACTGTGGTTACTGGTACCATGTGAGTGGTTGAGATGTGAGCAGTGGACCCCTCAGGTGACACAGCTGACACTTTTGGCACATCACTATTACCTTCTGTTGGTGCAGCTGCTGCAGTGGGGCCCACCGTGGTATGCTGCATTTTTTTCAGTTCCAAAACATGCTTAGCCAGCACTTGGGAAAATTTTTTATTTTTCACTTTTTCTTCTGACAAACATTGGTAAACACCACTGTCTCCTTCTGATAAATTGAAGATGAGCAGTGCCTTCTCCAGCAGACGGTACTTGGGACTCTCCACTCTCAGCACATCATCTTTGAACTTCCAAACTACCTGTGCCAGATTGGACTTTTGAGAACACTTGAGTTCTGCTGTGCTCCCATGCTTGAATGTATGCTGTAGGGGATTCTCTCTTACTTTATCTGGAACATCAAAATAAATGTGCAGAGTATCAGCAATGATTCCAGTTTGCTCTAATCTGTACAGCTTCACCAGACTGTTTTACAGTCTTACTGGAAGCATGAAGATTATGGCATTCACCTCACAAGACCAGGTGGACAGCATGCAAGAATCTCAGTAGAATACCAAGCTGCACGTGGAACATCAAGACAAACTAAGAGACAGGACACCTCAACTCTAAGACGGCCTCATTTCTAGATAAAGGTGAGACCTCACTGATCCACAATTGAGCGTGCACCTGAGAAGTCACTATTTGGGAAAGACTAGTGAAGAAGTCACTACTTGGTCTCACCTTATATCTAATCAGTGCATTCTAAGTAAAGTAGCAACTACAAAGTATCCAAGAGGAAACTAAACTAGGAACTCTCTTCTGAAAAAAAGGATATTTGCATTTATGGCTCACCTGCAACTTATGGCATCCCATAAATTAATTAAAATAATAAAAAGCAAAGCTCTCATGGCGGTCCACACTTTGCTTGGATTATAAATAAAAAGTGAGTATACATCAGGCTCTTAAGGGCATTTTCTACTTGCAGCTACTCCTGTAACTCTACTCCACTTTATGATCTTCATCTGGTGGCCACAGCACACAGGACAAAGAAAGGACCTGTAGCTACTTGCTTTAAAGCACTATGAAAAGTACTTCACACCGCTCTATATCATGTTCTAAGTTCCCCCTCCCCTTTCACCATAAAACCAGCTTTTTTTCAGAACAATTTAATCTGATCTAGCAGCAATAACCAAGCATTTGTCAAAGCTCACAGTAGAATGTCAAATGCTGCATCAAAGAGACAGAGGCCTCTGCATTAGAAGTACTTCTGGTATTGCTTTCATTCACAAGTCACTGTTGAGGTGCCCCCATTCATTTCAGGGGGTTGTGCACTGCACACTGAAATGCATACAAACACAGACAGTTTTTAAGACAACATGCAGGTTGTACAGATGCTCAAATATTCAAAGCAGAATCCCATACCTATTACAATGTAAATGAATGTCCAGGTAATCACAAAAACAAAACTCTCTCACCACTCCACCTAGACATATGAAGGAGCTCTTTGAAGACTGACTCACCAGAACAAGAAGATGCATCTCCACCTATGTTTTGAATCCAGTTCCTGTAAAAGGAAGTTCAATCATTACAACTTCAAATCTTGTTTCCTAAAGTCTGCCCATCCCCTTGTACTAATAAGGATCATCTAAACAGCAACAGCAGACATAAATGGATAGGAAAAATTTGAAAACGTTCAATTTCTAAAATTCCAATTAGAAATTGGAAATTAGAAAATTCCAAGACTGATTACATATTGATTGTAACTGTAAGGTCATCAAAGGATACTCTTACCTTTCCATTTCACCTTCTTTAAAAATATCAATGCAGGAAGCTTCAAGTGGTTTCCAAGCACAGTAAGGATCCCTTGCTAAAACACAGTCAACACAAGTGGTGTACTTGTCACAAAATGCCAATGGAGACTGCACCACACCAGAATTTGAACCAGCAAAGAGGTATCTTCTGCCCTAAAGAAAACAAAGCACAACAAAAAAACATCACAGCCAATCACTTGTTCAAACCCAAACAACCCAATTCATGGACCAATTTAAGTGTTATTAAAGAGCAGCATACATACAGCCTTTTTTGTAAAAAGTGGTGCCTCAGTAGAGTAAGCATGTGATTAGCTTTTGTCTCTACAAAGTTGTCTTGGAAATATTGCAGCAATGCTGAAAAGTGCAAAAAGACAACAAAAAACTGGAACGGGTATGCGGAAAGTAACCATGTCTAACTATGACTTTATCCATTTTCCCAGAAATATGAATGCAATAATCCTTCTGTGAGGTAAGGCAAGGCTGCCATGCTGGCACATGCAAGACAGAGCAGGCAGTAGGGCTGATGTGATAACCCAAAGCAGCCCTACTGCCTTCACCACTTTAGCCAGCCAGTCTCTGGAGCCACATCAGCATCATCCTTGTGAGAGTCAAACACTTCTTAAGAAAGAACACTGGTGGTACTCAAAGGAAACAGCACTGGCAAGACACTGAGAAGACAGGGGAAATAATCGCAATGGCTATTGGATCCCACCCAGGGATCCCAAAGCAGTCTGACTCTGAGCACAGCAGGAAGAGATCACGCTCATCCTTATTATAAAATGTAGGCAGCTGCCGTATCTCACTCGTCTGCTCTAGAGCTCAGGGAACATGACAGCTAAAGGTACACTGTGACTTTACATACTGTCAGGCAAAGCTCAAAAAAGGGATGTGCTGCAGTGCTCAGAGAAGGAAGTCTACAGTGTTGGAGACTTACAACTTCCTAGGAAAAGCTTCCCATTCTGCTCAAAGATTCCCACAGTGCACCAAGTACTGCTCACTCTCTAGTGCTCTGCTGGATTACACTGCAACAGTGCAACACTGCACATGGGTTTATAGTGTCTTGGCATGTTTCCCAGCTTATACGTCCAAGAGTCCAGGGAACATGCAGCAAGCTGAGCAAACCCATTTTTAAAAAAAATCCAGACACACCTTTCAGTTAAGCAGGAGTTAAGGGAATCTGACCGCCCACCCTCCACACACTATGGGAAGAGCCTAGAGACTACTGAAAAATGCTTTCAGAAAGGACTGTGATTCCAGAGTCCTTTCTGAGTATAAAGCCCACCATCAGGGTAATTATTACCCTTCTGTGATTAGCCCACTACTGTGGGATGCCATGACATGTAACACGATACCAGCTCTGCAATGGACATCAGCAGCCACTGACTGTGGAGGCAGAAACTTGTGTTTTCAGGCTGGGAAGCAGCAGGAATCCCTGCTTGGGTGGTACTATGACTATACAGTTCCCATGACTCTAGCAGCTGACCCAAACTCCCATTCCCCATCACTGAAAAGGACCTCTGGTTTTATGGGAATGTACTGGGCAGCTGAGTGTCAATGAGTATGTGGCACCTGGACCCAGAGTGAAGAAATTTCAATGCTATTATTCCTACAGCAGCCTTCCAAGTGTGTGCTGAAATTGCTACATGATATGTATTTGTATCAGGCTTAATGCCCATCTCTTTCTCAGCATTGCCCTAAAATAGGCAAATCATAATTAAGCCAGTGTAGGAATGATTCCACAATTAAAAGAACAGGTATTAGCATATATATTGGAAGAGCTATAAATCACTATCTTCTGTGACAGGGCAAATTCCAAAACTCCTGACAAAGCAAGTAGCTTGAACCATTTTTGCAGATAAAGAAAGTATTTTGTGTGCGCGCACATGTGTGTGTGTATGTATATAAATGCACACACACACACAAATAATACATATCTGTGAAGATGTATAGGTGAGTTGTCAGTGTGATATATCATACAAAAATAATACAATTATACTTACAGAAAACTAAGCACAGGCATTTTAATCCTGCTTTCCATTTGTCTAGCAAAAATATACTCTGTCCTTTCTTTTTATTATAAGCATGAAAGGATAAATAAGCATGCCGAACGAGCTTGTAAAAATTATGACATAAAGTGGAGCTGATCGTGTTGACATTCAAAATTTTATTAAATCACACAAAAATAAAAGCTGTTTTAAAGTATTCCTAAGTCCCTAAGCTGCAGAGCACTTATGTATGGATCACTAGGTAGCTACTGAATACTGGTATTGCTACTAGATACTTCAAAAGAGGCATTCAATCTTTATGAAACCCAGAAAACCTCACTGATGCTGATGCTACAAGTGACTTTAGGCATAGACAGATATATTCATGGATGTGAAGGTCTGAGCAAGTAGGGGCAGAAACCTAACTCATTAACAAATTACACACAGTGACGATTCTCCTACTATTCAAAAGCACTCTAGGAATAAACCAAACAACTGATAAACAGTGCAGGACATCTGCCAGGTTTGGAGTGCACAGCAGCTCTTGTGCCATGCAGCTGGAGCTGCAGCTGGCACCCCAGTGGGCAAACAGGACCTCACGAGAGGTCCTCACTAACAGCTGCAGCAACGTGACTGCTCCCACGACACCATCAGCATGCAGGAGCCTGCAATATTTGGGACAGCAGAAGTCAATTAACTACACAATTATGAGTCCCTATGCTTGAAGACTGCTCTCTATTCTTAGGTCTATTTCCTCAGAACCACACACCACTCCTCTGCAACCTCAGTCCCTGGGATTTTTCTACACAAAGCTGCAGTGGCCACAAGGGGTCGGGTTTTTTACATCCCTGCAGAACTGAAATTAGTTTCTTAAAACACCTTACAGTTTCCTGCTTCTGCACATGGAAACAAGTGAAGACCTGCATACCTGTGCTCCTCAAGCCATTCTCTATGTCTAAATAACTCCAGAAGCTTACCACCTACCAAACTTATTGAAATGCAGCAGGCAATATGTGAGTGCTGCAGCATGATGAGTTACACTTGCAGCCCTTGGCTGGCTCTATGCACAGCATGGTCTCTTGTCACAAGGCCACAAAGTGGTGCTAAAGAAGTTTTATGAAAGAACAAAAGGAGATAAATGCAATGATGCTTATACCACTCACTGTTTTGGACGAAAGCAAGAGAGTTTGGACTGGTTCAAAATTTGGAAAAAGCTGCGTTTCTTCAATAATATGCATTCCATTTTCATAGCTGATAGCTTTGTGCAGGGCTCCTCGATCTGAAACAAAAGAGCAATGTGCTTAAGTAAGATCTTTGAAATTAAAAAAAGCATGAAAAAGTCCTTCACAACTGCTGTAAGTAGTCTCAATAATATGCTTGTTGTTTAGCAGAAAAACTCTGTGTCAAAGGCAACCATTAAACTTGCCATCAGGACTTCTGAGCAGGAAATAACATTTTGGGGCACAGAATGACCAGCTGGTGATTATATTGTGTAGTTTTGCTAAATTCACTGAAGCTCTGCAGTTCTTTTCCTGCAATACTTTTTCAAAGCATCCAAGATTGTCCCATTACTGTGACGCCTTACTTTTTTTCTTACACCAGCTGCTGTAAAAGCCCTGTAAATATGGAAATCTCAAGAGTTTTTCTAAGAAAACTTAAGAATCAGTGCATCACCAAAACCAGGTGTTCTGCAGAACTCACCTGTACCGATGAACATCACATCATAGATGGTGCCATTGAGTGCTCTGACTCTGTCAACTACAATCTGTGTATACTTCACATCTCTCTTTACTAGGCGAGGTCTGTCTCCCATTGGAGTCACTGAGTCATCCATTAGAGGATGATCTTTAACAAACTGCAATGTTTTGTCTGGTAAATTCAGAGAACTCATGTAGTTTGATGCTCTGGCTTCGTTGTTTATACACTAGAAGAGGGGACAGGGAGAGGGTGAAAAAGAAAAAAGAGAACCAAATTGCATCATTTACTTGTACAAAATAAAGACAATCAACTGCAGCTGCACACATTTTCTTCTCCACATCATTTTGGCCAGTAACCACACCTGTACACTATACTCATTGCACCAAGGAAGGTCTCAGACCTCATAGCACTTTGATGTGCTAATCCCTGGGCTTTGGACTAAATTTTTGTTTGGATCAAAATACATTTTAGGACAATATTCCTTCTGTGCTCTCATGCACCTTCAGTACTTTTAACCATCACCTCTTTCAGCATTAGCAACAGTATGCCTGTAAGGAACATAAAGAAGTAAAAAAAGTCTGACCCACTTTTTTAGGAAAATTTGAGTGTGCAGAGCAGTGCACCAGATAAACAGGCTGATTATTTTACTGAGATAATGCAATAGTTGCTACACTTCCTTTCATCTGAACAAGAAGTGTATGATGTTGCTAGTGTAAACTGCAACACACTATTTCACAATGAGAAAATTATTAACAAAATAATGAAATACAAAACTAGCAAACAACTCCAAATTAAAAAACCCCAAAACCCAAAGACTTTGATTCCCAGATAAAAAAATTCAGAACATGTCACTTGAGTATTTTCCCATTAAGTGTTTACAAGAAGTAACCAGGTGAGGGCAAATATTAGTAGGTTACTAGTATTCCCTAGTCTGTTTCCTGCTGAGCATTGAAAAAGTAATGAGTTCCAAGACTACAGAAACTTACCGCACCAGGTCGAGGATTCGGAATTTCCCCATTGTATCGCACCCACTTTGTATGGGACTGTTCCACTGTAGCACTCTGCATGTATTTTCCTTTTGAGAAAACCTCTTCTACAGTAGACAGATTGTATGCACACACTGCTGACAACCCCACATTATTCCTATTAATTCAGGAAGAAATTAGGAAAAAAACAAAACCCAAAAAAACACAGGAGTAATTATCATTTTCTTGTCATAACCAATTGAGATGAAAGGTACTTTCATCCAGGAAAAGGCTATACCACACTTACAGTTGTGGGGTGAAGACTCCATATATCACTGGTTCCTTCAAAGTCGGAGATTTGAGAATAAAAACATCATTGATAACATTGAAAATTAAATTCTTATCAGGGATGGTACAAATCAGTCTGGCCTTGAGAAACGAAGTCCATTTCTTTTGCAAGGTCCTTAATCCTCCTTGGTCCCTCTTATGGTATTAAAAAAATAAAAAGGTGCTTGTGAGGAGAGCTAGCAGCATTTTTGCACTTAAGAACCACTGCTATATAGCATGCAATTACTAAGCCCTGGTGCTGTAAAACTACAATACTTCATCTACAACCACATCAATAAATGTAAACACATTCACATACAAAACAGTATCAAAGCCATAGGAAAATTGGTTCAACAAAAAAATTATTTCTATCACACATAGAGGGAAGATGAAATATGAGAGAATATGAGAGTTAATGGAGAACTATACTTCAGCATCGCTCAGAAAAACTGAGATGGACAATGCATCATTAGGAAAAAAGTAAAACAAGCATGGAAGTACTATACTGTCCTTTAAGAGAAATACATAATACTGCATTTGTTTGGTGACATCAAAACTGATTTATATTCTAATGCTGCAATATGCCTTAAGACTTGCCTAACACTGATCATTTCATTAGAAGAAATCCAGCAATAGTTTAATCCTGCTAGAAGTTACCACCTTAAGGATTTGCAGGTACCAAGGCTTAAGTTGAGATATATTGACTAGAAATGTATTTCAAAATATTTGATAATTGAGCTGTAGAACTGATATTTCCCTTATAAAAAGTCATATTGAAACAGTATCAATATTTCCATTCATTATCCAATTGTGTAAGCACTGTATTAAAGGCAATCTGCAAAACTTATTAACTATACATGCTTACAATGAAGTATAAATGCTTATAGACTTGCGATCTGTCACTGATTTCTATTTCAAACAACAATCTGAAATATATAACAATATAATAAATGAAGCTCTCATATTCCACAATACTCCTCTTTTAAAGTGTGCACACTGTCAGTGGGCAGAATGCCATAATAGCAAGCCCCATCTAAACCTGCCTCCAAGCTCCTTGTTTAATGTAAATCTCAAGGGCATTAACTTGTTATTGATGTTTTGACTTCCCTGTTTAAATACAAAACAGTAAAGTCAAAATAAAACTTTCAACCTCATGAAAATGAAACAGCCAAATAAATTTCCTGTTGGAAAAAAAGGAAATTGATACATTCCACTGAAAAAGTTTTTGTTAAATAAACATTTTCTACTGAAAAGACTTCCATCAGCAAGACTTTTAACCAGTACTCCTGAGGAAGCATTTGAATCAGCTTAACACACTGAGGTTTAAGCACAGCAAGTGTGACAGAATCAGGCTGCTGGTGACCATCTCCCTTCAGGCTCTGGCAGCTGTAGCAGCTTCACAGAAGTCCCATCTGCTACACCACAGTCAAGAACTATTTTGCTGTGGACATGGCTACAGTTGTGTTTGGATACAGCTACTTCAAAGTCACTTGACACACATCCTATCTGCTCAGCTCCAACCAAAGTCACCTCTTCACAGAGGGATGTACTTGTTTAAAAAAATTAACAATGAAAACTGAAGCAACATTTCTTCTGTTGCTGGGTTTTGTCATGGTTGCTTTGTTTTCCCCCAAAGAAGACCAGAACCCCCAGATGTACTGAAATTTCACAACTGTGCAAAATCAAATCAAGTATTTATTTACAAAGCAACTGTTAGGCCTTCTCAGTTTCAATGAACTGAACTGGAACAGCTTATTTATTAAGGTTTGCTAAACTCAAACACCACCATTTACCTGGCAGTAAGTCCAGGTACTTTTTAACATGCACATGGTAAGATTCTATGAGATACAGTAAAAGTAAACAGAACTATCTCCCACCTTGCATACTCTAGCTATTCTTGGAATCATCAATTTTCCAACAAATTCATACTCCACAGACACCTCAGTGAAAAAGAAGTATATCTTGTCATCTTCTCCATCTGTGCTGTTTGGATCTGCTCTTATCACGTCAGCAAAAACAAAGTTGGGCTCTACAGACACAAACAGAAGAATTTTCTATTACATATGTGACTACTAACTTGATTCCCTCAAAGACCCTCAGAAGTTGTCTTTCACCCAAACTCCACACTGCATTTACCTCCTCTCCACTCACTGACCTACTTACACAGTTTGCTGTACATCATACGAACAGGATTTCTAAAAAAAACCCAAGCCACAAAAACCAACCAGAAATGGAAAAAAACCCAGAACACCATGAAACCTATGTGAAAGCACTAAGATACTGAGAGATCTCCATGATCTGACAGCTCATTACTTCAGCATTCTTCAGTCCACAGTCAAATGTGGTTTCAGATTCTAATGGGCCAGGAGATGTAACCCTCCCCTGCCTGTCTCTCCTCTATTTTAGCTATCAGCTGAAGCACTGAAATGACAGTGCCATTACAACATGTATTACAAAACTCAGAATCCTGTACTTTTTGGACAATGGTCATTATTTTGGTCTCTTTTGGCACAAAGCCTCAAACCTCTGAAAATTCACAAAATTCAGTGACTTTTCAAATTAAGGAACTTGAAGTGTCAAAAACCATGATCAGCTCAATTTAAGAACCAATTCAAGACCAAAAACATTCAATTCCTTACCATATCATAATTAAGCTGCAAGGACAAACAAGCAGATGAGAAATAAACCATTAATGTCAAGTTGAAACATGCATATTCTGAAGCTGTTTTCATCATCAGTGCTGATAAAAATCCTTAAATTTCAAAATAAAATCTCCTGGTGGCATGCAGGAGGACACACACTCAGTGTATGCCAGTATAACCAAATCTGTCTCTTTGAGACAATTGCTCCTTACTTAGGTAGGACACTCAAAGTCTGTACATGTGATATTGGAAAAGAAGAAGTAATTTGTTTGGACTACTTCTTATGCTCACTTACCATTAAGCCAAGGTATTGCATACTCTGTTCTCAGAGGGCTCTGATGAGAGTGACGTGAAATAATAGGTTCACTTCCCAAGAAATTGTACGAAGTCCCAGAATAAAGCTCCTCATCTTCAACACAAAACCAAATATATTAGAACTTATGGACTGGATACCAAAAAGAGTACACAAATATTTTCTGAATCTAAGTTTTAACTTCCCACAAGAAAAGGCAAACTGATTTCCTCTGAATTGCCCTAGACATGTATTTTATGTTTACATTTCTGTCGATCATTCTCAAGCTAACACTTCCACACTTGAGTTTATTATTATTATTGCTCTAACACAAGAACTGACAAAAGTCAACGTTGTTTTTGTGGCATTTTAACGTTTAACATGAAAACCTACAATTTATCTTAGAACAAGCTAATTTACTTAAATGCACCAGAATTCTGGAATTGTCTTCCTCTCTTTCTATGCTACCATTATTCAAACTTGATTTGTACAGATTTAGGCACAATGCAGGGAGTATATTTTTTTATTCTCATTTCCTGTTTCATATGATGTTGAACCTCTCTTTTATGATCTTGGTACATGCAGGTAAAAGCCACAAATTCTGGCTTCCCCAGATTAAGATCTGGTGGCGTGTTTCCATGCAGTAAGTATACCTGCATTAACATCTCACTTCCCATTCTGCAGCATGTCTTCAGGACACCTTACAATACTGCTTTTTTATTTACTAAAATTACAGTAATTGATACTACAAGGGCAGTCTAAGTACATTTGAATTATCTGGATTAAATACGTTTGACATCTAGAAATACAGTTTGAAAACTGGTATTTTAGAAACTGCTTCCAAAACAACCTAGTTTGAAGTTCTCCTTTTAAGAAACATGCTTAGGTTGACTACATAAGTATTTTAACATCTATACAGATACACAATACAATAAAATATGGATGCAAGCCACAATTTTGGTAATGACAGACTGGAGGGTGACAGTGGAAAAGATAGAACATTTTTAAACATAAGAATGAGGAATGCGAAGTCTGAACTTACCAACCATAACAGATGTGTAGCTTTGAGCAGGATCAAATGGACATCTGCCCTTACCGTCTTCATTCTTACCTCCAAGTTCAAATGAAATTAAATTCTGTTGAAAACCACAAAACAGTTAGTAGAACTTTTTTCTTTCAGCCACTCAACTTGTGCAAAGCTAGCTAAAAACTGAACACTAAATAATGGACTATGTCATCAACTTCCAGCATCAAAGGCATTCGGAGTAAAATTACAGAAGGCATATGTGTTTTCATAAAAACTTATTGAGCCCCAAATACAGAGAAAAAATGTGATCCTATAATTTGTGAGGGTGAAAGCAGAAAAGAGCAAAAGATGGAAAGTTAAATCCAGACAGACTTCAAGAACGAGCACTCAAAAAAGCTAGACAGCAGGAAAGGCAGAGAAGTTAACTGATACATGGAAAGAACAAGCAATTACTCAATTAGACTGAAAAAAATGAAGACTCAGAAATAAAAAAGGCTTTCTGAGGTGGATTAAGCAATTTTTGAGATGATGGGAAATTTCTGAGATAGGGCAAAATCCAATTAGGCTTTAAAAAGCAACAGAGTACTTTTGCTGCTACTTTATAAATCCCTTACAAACCAAAGAATGAGGACCAGAAAGCTGAAAGGTAGCCACAGTACTTGGGAACTAATCAGTATGAAATGAAATGTATGTATGTAATGAATGTACCATGCAATGAAATCACTGGAAGCTAAAGGCACAAAGAATTACAAGATTTCTCAATTTTCGAATTGCTAAGAGCTGTAGTAAGGAAATGATACAAGAGTCAGTGGCGAGAAAAGGGAGTTTTAATTTTGTGCCAAGACTTCACTTTGAGGGATTCAGCACTACACATCTTTGGCACAGCCAGGAGCAGAGACAAGCAGAGACAGGAATCTGAGAAATTTCAGGGAGATTCAGTAATGAGTGGCAGTTGCAACCACTGTAATTTCAGTTTTAGTAACTAGCTTCATGTTAACACACAATAGATGAAGAAGTATAAAAGCTAAGAAAAAGCAGATCTGCAGTTAGACCCCAGTAATCAGTAATTCATTCAGTGCTATGAAAAAGGAACAGTATAGTCTACCCCTGCGATGTGACAGTGCAACAAGTACTCCTAACCTTACAGCCAACAGTGAAGATGCAACTGTTTTGGGAAAAGAGAATAACTCATTGTCAACCTGAGCTGCTTTTAAGTTACAGCTGTTGCTGGTCAAAACATACGGACATTTCTTACCAGGTAATCACATGTTGGCTGAAATGCATTAGTTCCACACACGTAGAGGAAAGTATCATTCAGCTGTTGCAAGACACGCACGTAATTACGACATTCTGTCTGTAATAGAGGATGAGGAAAGGACTAGTCTGATAAACCATAGCTGCCACATTCCAACATACACAAACAACACTGCCCATTGCTGCTGCTTATGCCACATCACACAGGCAAGCCCAGGTGACACATGGGTAACACTGGGACACCATCTCCCTAGAATCTTCAGGAGCTCTAATCAATCCTGCAAGCAGCTGGTTTCCTACAGCCAGTAGTATGCAGATGCCTCAGAGTCCTCTAGCAGGACAGTATGCTCAGCAGGGTCCATCCCAAGCTGTTTTATTGGAAGGACAAGCTCCAAACACACCTCCAGTTCATGGGAACAACTAGTTAAACACGCAGCGAGTTTTAGACTTTGTCACCCCTTGTATATCTAGATGGCACAATGACAGCCAAGGTTGCTTGTTAAGCGCAAAGCCTCGAATACCCTTAAATTAGCCACAAAGCTTTGTCACATATAGCAATATCTTCTTCTTTTTTTCCAGTCCTTGGAACTGTCCAAGGATGCTCCACAATATCTTTAGCTCTAAAACAGAACACGGAGTTTGACCAAAATCCTTAATAAAGGATACAATAAAAATTCAGAATAATAATTAATTAAAACAACTCTAAACGACCACTTAAAGAGAGAGAAAAAAAACCAGTGTCAATAACACCCCCTAATTCTTCCTGGTATACTGCCATATCCCTCCACTAACTGCTGTTCCATGAACTTCTTAAGCAAGTTTAAGTACTGACCCTACTATTCCTTCTTATGAGACAAATTAGGTATTTCTGTGACTGTATAGGAGAAAAAAGCAGGGAGAAGAGTGTAAAATCAATTTTCTGCCAGACAAGGCCCTTGAACAGCTGTATGAATGCTTTCTGCCAGATAAGGTCCTTGAACAGCTGTATGAATGTTTTCTGCTGGCATTGTACAGTACAGTGCTGATGGGAGGGGGAGAGAACTGCCCACTTAAGTTTAAGAAATAGCAGTAGTGGCTTAATATCTTGACCCTTTTGAAACTACTACACTGTGCAAAGCACCACAGCTACCCCATAAATGGGACTAGAAGAAGGTTAGAAGTGAGGAAAAAGCATGGCTAGCTGCTAAAGTATGAGCTGCTAAACTGGGAGCAGAAGAAAATAAAACATATTCAGAGCTCTATCAAAGTACATATTTATGGGGTTTATTATACCCACCAATAATTTTTGAGAGGACTTCTGGAGATTCACACACGTCTGCTAAACATATGCTCATGCACGAGACAAACTTATATCCCATATTTATCATGGCTGAGTATCAGTATTATTAATACCAACCACAATTGATCCATAAAATAAAAGAATTCTCTGATCCTATTCTGCAGAGGTAGACAAGGAGGAAACACACCTTAAACATCTGTCATACCTCATGTTCAAATAATGTACTGAGGGTCATCAGTGGTCAGTCAAGGAAAAGAAGCAGCTAGTCAAAGGGAGACAGCCCACTCCCATCCCAATGAACCACATGAACACAGGATAACTATCAGCCCTGGATGCGTCAACTAAACAGGCTGCACATTCAAGCATCACATCCCTCCATGTGCAGAATAGATCTGCTTTTTGTATTCGGAGAACTTGCAGACTTCCACTTTCAAACCTGTGTTAAAAGCCTGACCATCAGTCTTTCCCAGTAAATCTTTGCTTTACTGCATCATTAAATGAAGTGGTGTTACACAAACAGAATGGTACGTTCACACACAGTCAACTACCCCAAGCAAACAGGCAAGACGAGCAGGCCAGCCTGTGCCCTGGCAGTCATAAGGAATCAGTGGTTCCCAGAAGCACCAGGGGATCCTGCCAAGCTGACAGGAGGTCTGGTTGCTCTGGTGCCCTCTGAGCTGTCTGAGTTACACCACAAGTGGAACACCTGCCAAGCAACACAAAATACGCATAGACAAAGCTAGCAAAGAAATAAACTCGCCTAATAAAAAACCCCTATGCCCTAAAGCAAAGCACACAAAATTAATCATTCACTCAGTAAAATCAAATGCTGAGAAGGAATTACTGCAACAACAAAACACAACAGTTGCTACCAATTACTTCAGTGACAGTAATACTGTTTTATCATCTTAATGAAAAAACATTAATATTAAGCACACATTAGGGTGTGTTCAGATTTTCAAACATTCAAATAATATTCAACAAGAAAAGTAATGAACTAAAAAAAGACTAAGCATGCTGCAATTTCTAACACTCAAGTTAATTTAAAAAATTTAGGTGATTGTTTTGAAATTTTAATTTCAAACAGTTGCAGACTTTCTTCTTTCAATGTCATTCCTCTTGAAGTGAAATGTGCAAGACCTTTCTCCAAGTTCAATAAAAGTACATACCTGTTCTGATTTGCCCTTAACTGCACATTTAGTCCTTTTATCTTCTGTGACCTTCCAGTGCAACTAAGTCAAAAAACATGCAACAAAAAAGCACATTGTACTTTAAGTCAATGCAAGGTCTGAAAATCTTGCAGTAACACACAAGAAACGTGAGACATTTTGCAAGTAGCATTCAAAGGTTCAAAACCATTTTTTCCCAAGGAGGTGACATTTTCAAATGCATGTGCCTTAATCAGAACTAAACTATCATCTTTCAGGTTCATAATGATGATTCCCCAGAAATAGTTAATGAACTTTTCATTAACATATGCATTAGGGAAATGCAACTGTTACTGACTTAAGTATTTTTTCAATTTGAAGTACTTCTCTATTTCATTAACACTGGAATAAAAAACACTTGGGGGAAAGGAATCAAAGAAAATTTAGTGGACTAATTTGCATTATACTGAGTACAACTTTACAATTATGTTGTATATGCTGGTGAAAGTGCCCACCACCTATGAACGTGTTTTTTGGATTAAAAATCATATAAGCAACTTCTAAAGCACCCTAGGTGATAGTCCATGCTGTACCTGTACATGTGAGCCTGTGTTGCTGATGGGATGAAAAGCAGGAGCCTGGGAAGGACCTGGAAGCAATATAACAGTAGCAGACTTCTGCCTGGCCTAATTTACTCTGAGAAACCAGCCCAAACATATTCAAAATACTTCTCTGAGTGAGCTGATCGACCTGTCTGCACCACTACTTGCTGTGCAGACACACCTAAACACCAAACAGAAGATGAAACTGAACGGACAGGGCCGTCTTTTGCAGCACATTCTGCAGCCTCTGAGCAAGCCCCAGATTTGCCTCTGTTTCAGGTTACTTTTTGACTCAGATTAACAGAAAATGGCCCATTCCTGATACTAAGAAAACATGTAAGAACTACCACTGCGGGTGATACCCACAGTTCCTCTCGTCCATCCTTCTCCCAGGAAGAAAATACCCAAGGAGATCTCCAATTACTTGCTGATATCCAGCTTCTATTTTCTTATTCTTTTTTAGTCTGTAAAATCTTCCAGAAATAATACTGGAGTAGACCATATAGAGCAACTTCTCTTTTAGGTACTTATTTGTCTAAAATGCAATGCTACAGATATCAGGAAATTAAGTCAAATTTGGAGTACCATTTTTACCTGGAGAGTAATGTATTAAAAGGCATACCTCATGCTGCTTCTCAGCAATATTCACCGCATTTAAGGCAAAGATCACTTCCCGGGCTCCTACATACAGAACGTTTTTGTCTTCACTTAACAGCAAGGTTGAATAGTTTGACACTTTTGAGTCATTAAAATGTATTAGCTGGACCTCTGTTGAAATGGAAAAAAAATAGCACCTCATGAAGAAACAATCACCTAGGGTCAAGCTCCTGAGTAATTTTTTCTAAGTTGTCTAAGCAGCTGTTGGAAAACTTGAAAACAACAAAGGTTAATTCAGACAACCCATGTAAAAGACAAGGGACCCCTCAGAAGCTTGAAACAGCAGAAACAGCAGCTTCCACCAACATAAAATCACTCCTCCCAACTTTCTCATTCAAATTCAAATGCTCAAGTATTTCCTTTTGTGGTGATCCCTGTAACTCACTTCTTCATTTTTTTTCCTACTTGCTTTTTCTAAACTTGTATTTTCCACATCCACTGTCAGATTGTTCCTCAACTTTTCTTTCCATATACCAATCTACTGTGGAAAATCAGGCCAGTCACCACATCCCTTTGCAACCATCCTGAACAAATCCTACAAAATATCCAGCACCTTAAGAGAACTCTTCAGCATACTGACATAACAGAAAGAAGACACAGAAGCGAATAACAAACTATTTGCAGCTGACTGTAAAGTGAAAACAGAGATTAAATACACAACATACACACAAAATAACAGCATGAGGGAAAAATCAAGATGAATAGAAATAAGACAAGAAAAAGAGGGAAATATGAGAGAAAAGGCAGTGGAATGAGGAAGTGTGTAGAATGGACCAAAATGGCTTGAAGAAAGATGACACAAACTGACTAATACAAAAGGGGTTTTTTTTCTGACTGTACAACTGTAATGTAAGAATGACTGAAAGCTTTGTACATGAAGACACAAGATTAATTAAGCATAGCTTTTAATGATACAGATGAAAACAATGTACTATTACTTCCAATTGTAAAACTCCAGAAACATTAATTTTAAACTAGATTCTCAAGCATGTAATTTTGATATCTTTTACTTGGCAGGAAAATTTTCCCAAAATGGATGAACTGGTTAATGCAACTCCACTGAACTAAAGTTCCCTCTCCTATTCAAAGTAGGTTTCCAACATTTAAATGCAATAATCTTCAGCAGACAGAGAAATAAATTGCAGGAATTAAAATAAACTCCTTCATTTTGACTAATTTGGATGTGAGTTGGCAGTATCTTACTATGCCATTAAATAGCAACTTGCCAAAAATACAAGACAGAAGCATCAAGCCATGTGTAGGCCATCCTTTCTGAAAGGCTGCGTCAGCAACTCACTAATTGCTATACTAACCATCAAGCAAAACAGTCATCCCATGATCTGCTTATTCCTACTACATTCTTAATCTCCATCTATCTTTTCCTACAGAATGTCTGCTCAGAATTTAACATCCTTATTTAAGACTGCTTCAATATACAGCCAATGTATTTGAATTTGTTCAGTTATTGTACACTTGGTAAAGTAATCAGTTGCTGCTTACTTACATTAAAGAAGGACCAAAAGACAAAATCTCTTAAAGCATCCATGCCACATGGGTAATGGGGGATTAGAAGAAGAAAAAAGGGGAAAATGCATATATTCACAAATAACTACTCTACAGACTTTGGTCTCAAGTTCTTTTCAGACCTAGGCTAAATTATTAAACCAAAAGCTAGGGATCCCGATTTCTATTACTTCTCTTTGCACTTATTTTGCAGACTTCTTATTACTGTACTGGGAAATTATGAATATATGCTGCAATTTCAAATGCAAGAAAAAGCATTGTTCTGTGAAAGACTTTCATATCGAGACACCATAAAATGCTGTTGAAAGACGGCCCAATGCTGATTTTTTCCTTTGTCTGTTGATTTATTTAATGCTCAAGACAGCTTGGTGTCAAAACAGATTATTAGCCAGAGAGGTGCATTTTGCTAATGTATTCAGACTCCAGATAAAAATAATTTGTTTAAACTAAAATACACCTACTGGGGTTTTCCCTTGAAACAAGTTTCAATTGCAATATCCTTCAGCTGAGAAAGCCAAATTTGGAATTCCTCCTCTGTTTCAAAAACTGTTTTCAAAGCTGCTTGAAGGAATCAAAATCAGTTAACCCAGTGCCTGAATGACTTTTGAATATTCTGGTCCTACGAATTTCATAAGGTGAGCAAAGTAGCAACACCTGACCAATTCACAGCAAGTTGGCTGAAAGAACCTAAAGCCTCAGGGAGCTTCAAATCCCACAGAAACCCTGAGGATGTGACAATGTCCCATGTTACAATACTTAAATTTCTGCTCTTACCTTTGTGTTCCCAAGTGATCCTTGGCACTGGGCCAAATGCTATTGCCACTTCTAGCAACAAACCCCAAACAGCATAAAAAGCACACAGAGCCATCTTCAGTGTCCCTGCTCTTCGGGGCTCACTGGGTAACTGCAGCAGGTAGTGTTTCTTTGGCAGATGAAATGGAGACCCCAGGGAGTATTAGAGACCAGGCATTTCTGCTCTTGAGAGCAACACAACAAGGGAGGCTGGAACAACTGTACAAGTACGTGCTTTTCAGCAGATCACTTCAAGAGAACGCACATTTTCCAGGATGCTGCATACACAGACTGCCCACACGCTCCACAGGCTGCAGAGCTGCTGAGAAGTGTGACTGAGTGCATTCTTCTGTTTCACCAGAGAAATAAATGATGCTGTGGAGAGAGGAGGGAAGCAAGAAATAGAAGAGAAAGCAAACTAAATACTGCCGAAAATAGCACTGATGTTGCAGTATTTCTACAGCTGCCTGCATATCTTACTTTGGACACAAAATATATTACTTGGTGAAAATCATATTGTTAAAAACAAGACACACATTACATGACAAATGGGCAATAATTGAAAGCAATCATTTCAACCTAGAATTCCAAGTGTATATACTTTGAATTGTCAACTACACAATGCACAAAACTTGATTCTAGTCTATTCTTTCAACAGTGTGTCAAAGAAAATCCCACCTCTCTTAATAAACAATAAACAAAGATAACAAAAACCATTAGTATCACAGAGCAAAGAACATGAGAAGTGCAGCATTAATAGTAAGAATGGTTACACAATCTGCTGTACCTCCCATACTTGGGATCTTACAGAAGTCTTTTTTTTTTAGTGAAGTTTCCTATAATGCCACTAAACTGTGGTGTGCAAGGGGTAAAAACACAGCTACAGAAATGAAGAGCCAATGCACTCCACACAAAAATTAAGAGAGAAAACACTTCAACAGTGAAACTGCTAGTACCATGAAAGTACCATGGAAGTCACTGCGCCTTCAAGTCAACTATTACTCTAAGACCATGAAAGGCCTGTCCTAATAAACAAAACTGTCCAATGCTTTCTACACCATCTTCTAGAAGACTCCAGTCCTTCTGTCTTCACCATTCCTAGGTGAAGACTCCAGAAGCAGTTAGTGCATTCATAAATTACTTGATCATAAACAGGTTTTGAGGCCTGTACACTTGGGGTGGTGATGAAAAAAAATATGTTGTCCTTTGCAGCAAGATGCTAGATTTTCAACATGCCACCACTGCCTGAGACACTGAGGTGACTCTAGTAAAACACACTACAATACAAGATGACTGTAATACCTAGAGGTTATCCAGCAGGAGGGTGAGTGAAAGTGTATTGATTTTGCACGGCCTGGTTTTGGTAGCAGGTGGGCTTCACAAGTGGCTCATGGAAGAATCTGCTAGAAGCTTCCACCACATCCAGTAGAGCCAACCTGTGGCAGCTCCAAAGAAAGAAGGGCTATTGGCCAAGGCTGGCCCAATTACAAATGGTGGTAATGATAACATACTTAAGAAGAAATCAAAACACAGTTGGTGGAACAGTTTTAGTTGTGAGCAGAAAAAGGCAGAGTGAGAACATGTGAGAGGAACAGCCCTGCAGACCCCAAGGTCACTGAAGAAGAGGCAGGAGCTGCTCCAGGCACAGAGCTGGCATTCCCCTGCAGCCCCTGGTGCAGCCCATGGTGAAGTGAGGCAGCTGTGCCCCTGCAGCCCATGCAGGTCCGTGGGGATGCTGAGATCCACCCACAGCCCATGGAGGAGCCCCAGGCTGGAGCAGGTGGATGCTATGGGAAGCTGTGACCCCGTGAGAGAGCCGTGGAGAGAGGGGCCCTGCTCCCCTGCTATAGCAGCCTCTCCTTGAGGGACTGCACCCCGGGGAAGAGTGGCCCAGGCTGCAGCAGTTTTGGGAGGACTGTGTGTCCATGGGAGGGACTCACACAAGGCAGCAGGTCAGAGAGCTGCTGCCCTTGAGAGGGACTCACATCAGAGAAGTTCACGGAGAACTGTCCCCTGTGGAAGGGACCCCACGGTGCAGCTGGGGAATGCAGGATAAACCATGGCTGATGAATTTACCAAAATCCCCATTGCCTGTCCTCTGGTACCACTGGGGTAAGGAGGTAGAGCTTAGGAAGGAGGGAGGGGTGGAAGTTGTTTTTAAGGGCATTTTTTAGTTCTCATTCTACTCCTGTTCTAATTGTGTCGGTAATGTTTTCAATTCATATCTCTAATTACAGCCCGCTTCACCCATGACACTAGAGGAGAAATCTCTACCAGTCCTTATCTCTACCCATGAACCCTTAAATTTTCTCTCCCCTGCCCAGCTGCTGAGCAGAGTGAGTGAGGAGCAGGGTGGGAGTCTGGCATCCAGCCACCATCAGCCCACTTAGTAACATTGAAAAGGAAGGGACCGGTACCTGAAAGACACAGAGGTAACAAGACTAGGGGAAAGCTGAGCAAGAACATCTCTAAGCACAAGCAAGATTCCCCTGGGAGGATGTGGTTTTAAGCAGGAAAAGGCAAGGAATCTCTTGTAAGTGCAGCCAGTGGATCTTAAGTAAAGTGGCCAAGTAGAAGACCGGCAACCACATTTTAAGTGTTTACACCTGCTTTAATAAATGATCACAGGCAAGATTAAAAGATTTAGAAATCTCATTTACTTTTATAAATATCTTCTCTACTAAGAAAAAAATCCACACAAGACTGTAACTTGCTCAAGCTGAACCTGTAACTTCCTATTTTTTATGGGTGTTTTTGCTCTTGGTAAGCACTTTGGATCAAATCCAACTGTTTGTAGCAGGTCGTATTAATCGTTTTGGGTTTTAATAATGTTTTCAGTTACCAGGCTTTTTTGTGTGTCCTTCCTGTTTATCATCATATACAAGCAATTCCAGGTTTTACTCTCCAATACATTAAAAAGTGCCCACTCATCTGAGTCACAAGGCATGACATATTCTGAGGCAAGCAAACAGCTTTACAGGTGAGTGTTTAAAAAGGGAACAATAGTTCAATTATTGAGTTCCATGCAGTTTAGCTATTCTATTTTAAGAGAAATGTAAGGAGGAAAACAGCAGTTTGAACAGATAATCCTTTGCTTAATGCTACCTTTTGTTACTGAAAAGACTGCATGTAAAAATCAATTCCCCATCAACTCTTGATTTTATTTTGTAATTTTTAAATTTATTTTTAATTTATTTTTAAAAAATTTTTAATGGATTTTTATGGGATTTACCTGGGATGGTCCCAGCAGAAATGGGAATATTTTAAATTATTTTTAATTTATTTTTAAAGATACAGCCAGGACATCTTAATGCTATCAGTTATGTACAATACCATACCGCAGAGACAACTCCAGAGAAGACTTCTGAAGTCCTGTACATTTTTTCAACTTTCAAGTAGAATTAGCAAATATAAGCCCTAGTAAAGGAAAATCCTGAGCCTTCTATAGTCACATTACATTCCTAGTCCAGCTCGCCTACCTCAGTAAATGTAAAATGACAGTGAAGCTTGAAACATATTAAATTATCGTTCGAAGAAAACAAAGGGTCTGGCTGGATCCTTTAATGCCAGCTTTGCTGTGTGGACTGAGAATTGCTTCAGCTATACAAAATGGAAATCTGTGATTTCATTCCTATCTTGTACACAAGATTGCAAGAAAGGTCCTTTTTCACATTAATAAATTTGACTTCTCAGACATTACTTGATCTAGGGCAAAATTTTGCATGTTACAAAATGACTACGGTGAGCACTACACACCCAATTGTGCAAGACCCACTTTGTTCTTATTTCTATAACTTAAATAGAGATGAAAATGCACTCAGAACCTTGTCCTTTAATTTAGCCTTCAATTTAGTTATTCTCCCCTGCCCCTCCCTTCCCTGTGCTGAAAATTATCTGGAGTAAGTCCTTCACTGACATCCAGTGTGAGGCCATTCATAATCTAATATGAACCTCTTTTTACATAAAGCAAGTCATACAAGAAAGAAAAGTAAAACAAAAATAAAATTAAAAGGCCTAGACAATGGCCTCATTTCCAGATTAACTTGGTTCCATCAGCGTTCACTAGCTTTGATTAGATCTGAGTGCTTTGAATTTCTGAAAAGTTAAGTCTCCTAATACTTTGAGCATTAGTCCCAAAAAAAAAAAAGCCAGAATTTGCTTGGAAACAAGTACACTGAAGAAGTAAAGGAGAAAGAAACCTGAAATATTTGGCTACATAAATAAATTCTGATTAAAATGACCACAGGTCTACTTTTCTGTAGAACTGTTAAAACTTTTCTGAGGTAAATGATCAATAATCCATAATTTAGGGACTCTGATGTTAATTTTGCATCAGCGATGTAATGTGTAATGATGAAATGGAGCAAAATGAGTTTTCTGTGATGCTTGTACTTATGGTGACTAAAAACAGAGCAACTGCAGAAGCAATCAACGCGGCTTCTGTCAGTTTGGCAGACCACAGCTGGAAGCTCAAAGCTGTGAACATTCCCTTGACATGTAAAATTCTAATGCATGGAAAGAGAAATAGGTAGAAACAACCTTCTGCTCTCTTGAAGTATAGAAATTCAAAGCTGTTAGAAAAATTTCAGACTGCATAACTGCTAGTAAGGAATACTAGCACAAGTTTTGAAACCAGAGAGTTGCAATGGCATATACTGACTGTTATGAAGATCAGAACCGATCTGTCTCTCACATCACCTGTGTCACTGGGCATCAAAGAAGCAGCACTTAAGTCCACCTTCTGGAAAAATGCAAAATGCTAGTCATGCAGTGCGAGAAGCTGGAAAACCAGTCATGGGAAGGAGACTGTCATCCTTCTCATACTCCAGGACACAGAGGCAAAGTACACACAAAGCAGTACTTGTGAACACAAAATTTCATCTTTCAGACATGTCAATTCCACAACCCTCACCAGTACCCAGGTTTTTTTGTAAGTAAGGCAACCCAGAGGCGTCTCCTTCCCCAGTCAGCATGGTACAGCTGGATCCAAGTGTGTATCTGACACAAGCAAATACCCCACAAGCTGTGGGATCTCAGCACCTCAGGACTGAGGTGCCGAGTCACCAAGACCACCCTTGGGGGGCTCGGGAGTTTTGGAATGTTGTCAGAAATATCTGGTGGCTGGACTTTGATCTTACACGGGAGACGACACCAGTATGAGGATAGGAGGATTTCACCAGGGTGAATGGTGAAGGGATTAGTTAGTTAGAGAGTGAAACACAGGGTTTAGGATTTCTGTACAGGGGGGTTTAGAGAAGTAAGATGGAGGAATTGGGGTGTGTCTTGTCTTTCTTCTTTTTTTTCTTCTCTTCTATTTTCTGTGGTGATGGTGGCACTTTGAGATTGGTTGTTACTAAAAGTGCACTGAGCAATAAGAGTGAAAGGTATTGGGGAAAAATGATAAATATTGTATACGCAACTTTAGGTATAAAGATAGGTGACCGCCCCGGCGGGGGGGGAGTGTGCTCATGGCTGGCTGCTGAGCAGACCTCTGTCGGGCCGAAAGAAAATCTTTTAGATAAACAATTAATAAACACAGAGACCGAGAAAAGAACTGAAGCCTCTTCTGGTCCTTTGAAACACGGGCTGCCCCAAGGCCACCCCGGGCCTTTCCAGGCCATCCAAACAGCCGAAAACTGGACACAAGCTAGCCAGATTCTGGAATTTCAAAGCTAGGAAATGGCCAATTTTGCAACGCTTGTTTCAAAATATTTTTTCTTCCGATAAACACTTCGTTGCATTGTGCAACTTCTCAGTTTGGCTCAGTATTACATAAAGTGCTAAGTGGATCTAGTTTTATTTTGTATATGAAGGTTAAAACCAGGAGAATTTATTAACACACCAGAAACAGTCAGCATCATAGCTGGGACTCTTGTGATTCCCAAGAAATGATCATTACCATCACAGACGATCCAAACTCTCCCTTAAAGAAAGTCGAAGGTGCACTGGCCATTCTGGCCTAATTTCATCACTCTCTTCATGATTCCCCAACCATACTAAGTGCCTCTATGATTTTCACCCCTTTTTGTATTGCACTTTATTCTCCTCCACAGGGTTTTCTCTCCCTGCAATCCCTCATCCACTCTGTACTTAAGTCTCCCGTGCCATCACCCACTTTTCTTCCCCAACACAAGCAATGCACAGCTCCATGACCACAGGTGATGTCAGCCCCCCCAGTGAGGCTGCCAGACAAAAGACCACGTTCCTTAAAGGAAGGCCCTTTAAAGCACATACTTCCCTACCTCTCTATAAAATCAATGTCACATCACTCATTGTCCAGGGACAGCAGAATGAGGATCTCAGAGCAAAGAACAACTAACTGCAAGACACCTTTCCTTCCCACTGCCAGGAGTGAAACAACCACGCCATGGCAGGTTTGCCAGGCAGCCTATCCCACTACTTTTGGATAATTTAAAAAAAAAACAAGAAAACAAACAACAAAAAAACCGAAAACATTTGCAAAAGTTGCAAGGAGTAACTTGTAAGTTACTATGATGAGGGATATGAAGCTCAATATGTGGAGACAGGCAAATTTATTGATTGAATTGCTTCCACCAGCAGAAAAGGGTGAGTTAAAGTATTCAGCTGTCAGACAGCATAAATTCCAAGTTCTCCCCACATAACTTTCTTTTGAAGCTTTAACAGAATACAAGTCTGCTTTAACATTTACTGATGCCTATTTTAGAACAGACTCTAAGGCTCTGTGCTTGAAAAACAAACCAGAGAAATCCAACGAGATTTTGCTTAAACCTGGTTTTTTCTTTTTCAATTTTGTTTCCAAAACTGAAAGGAAAAGTTAGCAATATTTGTATTTTAAGTAATTTTGATTACACAGTGAGTCTCCAGATTCTAGCTGGTCAGAGTGACCCAAGATACACTAGAAAGTCTTTTTTCCCAGCCTGGCGGTCAAAGAAGGAGTCAGAGCTCCTCATTTCTCAGTCTCAAAGTTGTTTATTGTTTCTTATCTATAATTTTTTTTTCTCCTGTCCTGCGAGGTCCACTCAGCAAGACAGTCAGGCACTCTGCCTGCCCCTCAGAGGAGGTGTTCTCTTTTTATAGTAAAAACTACATGTTCAATATTTACAATTACTTTGCAATACCTATCATCTATGTCAGACAGCGAGCTTCTACTCTAAAAGTGCCAAAATTGCAGCAGACGATGGAGGCCAAGAAGAAGAAGAAATGTTGGACACACCCAGATTCTTCCATCTTGCCCCTGAATCCCCATGCTAAAAACCCCAAAAACTCAATTTTTCCACCCAGTGATAAATTCACTATCATTCTACTTAAACTTTTGTGGCTTGTAATTCTTCATATAAGGTTGGTAATTGTTTTTCCGAGCGCTAAATCAAAGGCACAGGGGTCTTGGGCTCTGTGCCAAGGTCTCTGAGCCCCCTGGGCAGGGGTTTAAGTCCTCCAGGGCAGCCAGAGGAATTTCCTGGGTTCCAACAAGTAAGAAGTGCACAAATTACTTTTGATATCTGAGTTTTATTTACATAGTTTGTGAATTTCAGAACATAGTTTGTGAAGAAAGGGTGCTTTAGTTCTCACCCTTTTACAAACCTCAAGCACAGTGCCATTTTCATACAGTCTCATGAAAAACATCATTATTTTCAATCTTTTTATTATAAAATATATATGGATTCATCTTCTCCTGAGGTAAGGTACAGCCTCAAACTAGCAAACCAGTAGCCCTTTATGATTAACATACATGTAGAGCGTGCAATTATTTGCCTTTTGAACTGTAACCAAAATACTCTGTAGTTGCTAGATGATTACAGATTAGATGAATATTCCTAAAACAATTTGGTGTGGTCTTTATCTCTACCACAAAGCCTGCTGAAGGATGTGCACTAGTAGTAAAATATAAATGTTGAGGAAACAAATTCCCAGTTTTAGGCCAGAAATCAGTATTTTCTGTTTCTGCATGATAAATATGTCATCAAGCAGTCCTCAGAAAACTAAGGCTCGTGCTTAAAGAAGAGAATTTATCTCCAGAGGGACACTGCTAGAGATCCATTACATTTTTTAAACTCACATTCCTGTTCTTTTACTACTACGTTCTTTTTCTGTGGGAAAAGATTACACGAAGATAAAGTATTACATGGAAAAAAAATGACAAGACAGATTAAAATCCTTTTTTTTTTAAGGTTATTGTGGGTAGATCTCTAGGAATAGGATTCAACTTCAAAGAGCAACAAGAAAGAGCTAACTTGGATGCTGAGTTATCCCAAACACAGAATTCAAGAGCTGCCCTGGGCATGTTCTAAGACCGTTTTCTGCCTGACTGGGTACTCCCAAATATTAAACCTGGGTTGTGACAGTGACAGTGTTGCAGTTAAAACCAAGCAAGAAATAAAGTTCCTGAAGTTCATCTTCTCCTACTACTTAAATATACTGTCTATCAAAAAAATATTGCTCAGTTTCTTTCTCATTTTTTCTTGGGCTCATAGGACTGAATGAGTCATTTGAAGTTATTTGAAGATGCCTCTTGGCAACTAATGGCACATGTGGAAGTACCTGCATGTTTAAATTAACAGGTATGTGTGCCTTAAAGAAAAACTATACTAGGTGTCCAACAACACTTTCAGAGTCAAACACCTCCAAAAGCAAGCCCAGTACCCCTTTATACATACAAAACACATCACAGAGGAAGGTGCAACCATGAAAATGACCTTTTAGTGGTAACTAAAGAACAGGTAAATACAGAGTATGTTCCTGAGTGAAAGAAGTCCTTTCCTGAGAAATTTCCTAAGTATTCTGGTCTTGAAGAAAAAGAATGTAATAAATCAAACTTATAATCCAATCCTGATTTATATTTCTCAGTATGTACTAAGTCCCCAGTATTCTTAAAGCACATTTATCTGCTTTGCTAACAAGGACACCTGCAAAAGAGTCACCATGAACCCAACACAGCTCCCCTTGCTGTGGGGATGTACCTCTGGTTTCAATGTACATACCTGCCACCCTTCGGAGCCTCCTGCACACCCCAGAGCTGGGAAGCCGTCAGAAAAACGTCCTTTCTGAAAAGAGGTAAGAAACAGGCTTTGACATCAGTACTACATAATCCTGAAGGGCAAGTTCTGATATGGGAATCATAAAAAATCCTCCCTCAAAAGTTTGGTTTTTATTTTTCAGATTTCCAGGGTAGAGCATTCCTGACAAAAAACAGAACTGCTACATTTGCATCCAATGAGCCAAGATCCTGATGTTGCACTTAACATGAAAAAAATATTAAGCAGACCTGACAAAAAGCAGACACATCAGCCCTTTTAAAACTCAATTTGTTTGTCCTATCCCAAGCTGGCTGATATCTACCCAGCACAAAATTATTCAGTACTTGCACTGCAGTAGCAATTACTGATATTGGTAAGAGTCTGGGACCCCTCACATGATGGTACAGGATGTACTAGAGAGGTTAGACACCAGCCAACCCCACAAACAACTACCTTTACTAAATTCATATAAAGCAGTTCCAACACTTTCCTCCATTATTAAAGAACTGCATTATGCACCAGCTTAGGAAAGTGGCACTGGATATTGACAATGAAACCCAGCACGCTCATATTTATTTTGCTGTAATCACAGGTCACAGTGATAACCACAGTGGGCCACTCTGAAGCAATCACAACTGAACACAACAAAGCATTTATCCCAAGACTCTTCTACATTACGTGCTTCCAATATGCAGGCTCATAATACTGTTACATCAGATTGTATTTAGCATATGTATTTCCTAATGTTCATCAAAGCACTTTTAGAAGGCTGAGCCATGTGAAGGCATAGTGTTTTTTAAATGCAGGTCACCTCACAGTCTGAAGCAGATTTCACTATAGTCAGCAGTAAAGGGGCTCCTAAAGATGCAAGTGCTAAGATGGTACACCTGACATAAAATCTCCACTGCACTTCTGAAGGCTTCATTCTTGTCCCAGAAGATAATGACTCAGAAAATGGAAGCCTCAAAAGAAACAGGCTAGAGACAATTACAAGAAGCAGCTCAATATGGCAGGTCTGTCTGTAAGGGTGAGCCTACACAAGGTCTTTTCCAGAGACCTTCAACAGCGCATGTTTTGTGGCTACCAGTATAGCAAAAGGCATCAAACAGCTACATCACGCACATTTTTGCTTACAAAACAGTATTTTCAGTATCTTTTGGACTATATAAAGAGGGCAAGGTAGTCTAATTCTCCCCACAATCATTTTTGAACAAGATACACCACGAAAATCCATTACACCCATCCATGTTATTACCAATGGGCTACTTTTCACAAACAGTAGCAGAATGTAACTGACTGACTTCTGATGTGAAAAAACGCCATCCACCTTTCACTCTGTTGAAAACAAACTAGAGCAGGCAAGCTGTAAACCATCTGATTAGTTATGAAGCTCTCCACAAATCAACTTACACCAGATCACCTCTATGGCTTTAGCTACTCAGTATTGAAGTGAATAGGTAAAATTTACAAAAAATTCCTGCTTGTCACAAGAGGCTATCAATCAACACAGCCACTATCGCTATGGGAGTTTTCAGATCTAAGTACAGCTCCCTACAGCTTATGCTCCCAGAGCAAACTATAATCATCTATTTTAGCTTCACGTACCTTAAGGGAAAAAAAATTTCTCTTTTGCCTCTCTTGAGAAAGACCTTCCAGCAGCCTATACAAGCACTTTCACCGTAACAAAGCAGTTGCATCAAAATGAATAGCTACAGTAAGTGTGAAGCTCCTTTGAAAAGCCTAGCAGCAAATCAGCTGACCTGTATACTTTCCTGGCTTACTTTAAACAGCTTGACATGGAGGTTTTCAAGTCTTGGCATATAGGTCCCAGTTTCTAACTATGATCTGAGGTCACTGGGGACAGGAGGCAGGTGGCTGGAGGTCAGGCCACCTCTCAAACAGCCTCCGGATCACCACGGAGATGGAAAGAGGCACATGAGCTGCTAGGACTTCCAAGCTGAGCCACCTCAGCTCAGGAACTCTGCTCCAAACACAGTCCATCCCTCCTCAGTGTGGTCCTTGGGAAGGGGCCAGCAACCACCAGTGTTTCCAGCAGAGAAGCCCACAGGCATGGGGCTGGGTGTGAGGGTGGCTGGGGCTGAGGTGAAGGGTGGTTTGCAAGTAGGGGCTCATTCTCACATTCTCCTTTGGTCACAGCGCCATTGCCTGCCTGCCAAGACACCACCTGTAGCCATGCTACACACAAGAAACTACTCCCAGCTTGCCAGAAGCTATGACATAATTAAGCCCTTTAATCCAACTAGGACTTGAGCATGAAATTAAACCTCTATGTGAGCACTGCAGGCTGGCAGACATCCTTCAGATGCTCTTGCTTGACCCAAACCTCACAGGTGATCCTTTACAGCAGGTACTACAGAAGATCCTTAAAACTTACGCCCTGTCAGGTTTTAAGAGTACTTAAGTCTAAACTTATGGGAAAAACACCCCTCTAAACTGTTTCTTCTGGCAATGATTACTTAAGCTTGGGGAGAAAAATTACACCACGAATAGCTCATTATTTTGACAACTGTGACTAAGTCTTCAAAGATTAAAGAAAACACCTACTGGATTACAAATGAAAGACAGCCTGGAATACATTATGTAGAATAAAGAGATAGTCACCTTAACAAAATTTTTCATAAAAGATTCACAATCCTTCATATATGTGTGTTTGCATACACTTTATTTATTTGAAGAGCTCCTAATCTCTCAAATTCCAAACCACATTAATGTATTACAAGGCACTTCTGGCTGTCGCATCCTACTTGTTTTTAAAAAAAAATTAAAAATCTGAAGAACAACTATGATGTACTACTTTTCCCCTGCACATCAATTATGATCCAGATCAGGAGCATTTCTTTCATTTTCTATTCAAGCACATGTCTGCTGTAACCAGGTCCTTGTGATTCTAAATTAAGAGAAGAAAAAAGAAAACTCGCTTATGAACAAATTTTCTTTACTTGGAAGTCTCTTTGGGAGGCCACTGGGGCAAATTTTAAGTTTGGTAACATTTCTTGTGCTACAGCACTATACACTGACCTTACTGAAATATCATTTCCAGATAAATACCCTGATAATCTAGAGCTATATTTGCTACCTCTATTTCAAGTCAGCCACAACCTATACATACTGGTTTTCTTAGAAAAACTCATTTTAAAAGCTTATATGGAAGCCACAATAAAGCCAATATACAGCTATGAGTAAGACTGCCCAGACAGCTGCTCACAGACTGTGTCTGTGACTAAGAACTTTCCTGTTAATGCCATGTGTGGTTTTACAGCTTTGAATTACATGAAAAGGTAGGCTAGACTACAAACTTCAAGAACAGTGCATATTACCATCACTATATTTAAATAATTGATCTGAAACACTAAAATAACTGCTGCTGACATAGCCCCCATCCCATTCTGGATGGGGCTGGTGATTATATCTGCACCACCTGTGCAAGACACTGGGGGTGAAAAACCAAGTAACAAATGTGCTACAATATTTAGAGAGAAAAGCTCAATTTTTTTTCCCCTTTCCTGCCTGCAAAGTTTACTTTTAAAAAGTATCTTAATTTCACAGACCCATTTACTTGCCTATCAACACCGGTCTACTTTTACTAAACATTATAGGAAAAATAAGTACATGAGCTTTAACCTGAAGCAGAGGCCCATGCTAAACCTTGTTCTGAAACAATGAAATGAAAAAAGTCCTGTCAGATCTCGAAAAGACATCTCCATCTCACCCAAACTCTGCTGGGATTCTCAGTTTTAATTCCTGTCACCTCAGAACTCCTCAGATCTCACAAGCATCTTCAAAAAAGCCAAGAAAAATATAGAGACTAAACTGGTGGCAGAGAGCTACAAATGCCTTCTGTATCCCAATGACAAAATAAGAATATCAAGGCTGGGCCAGCTACTGCCATGATGAGAGTTTCTCCATTTCTAAGGATATTGAAAGAATCTGTTGTTAAGCAACTTAACTTCCATAAAACTCAATAGGAGCTTTCATGATAGTATCTATGCATCCCAACCCTTGTTCAGAAAAGGATATGAGGGGGTTTCACAATTTCAGCTTTCTTCCAGTTACAATACCATACAAGTATCAATACAAGAATATTTTATTAAAAGACATGGTAGCAGTTTAATAAAAAACACAGTAATGGTTCTGAACCAAATTCCAATAAAGGCAGAGAATACCAACACAACTATGTGAGTCCAACAGCCACAGCGCAGGAGAGAAGAAACAAGGAGGCACAAACGCATAAAGAAAGGAACAAGTACCAGCACTTCTGCTTGAGATTATTTTTAAGGCACCACTTCAGGGATATGTAAAATCTTTATGTATTCACACAGCCTTTGCTTAGGAAAGAAAAAAATTCAGAAGAAAGACTACAATATTCCAGTCAATGACCACCTCCACAATCAACAATTTTTCTGCTTTGAAAAGATCAATATAAAGGAGACAATTACTACTCCTCTTGTCATAAAATCCCACATAATCCATGTCTCCTTCTCCTTCTATCAGAGAAGGAGCAATCCTGGAAATTATTTGCTGGTTAAAAAACCTAAACAAAAGTCTAAGTTCTGCCTGCATTTTTCATTATTGCTCTTTCATCAGATGCTCTCTAAGGTCCCTAAGAAAATCCCAAAGACCCACAAAAACACGTCTTACCCAAAAGACTATCAGTTGCCAATTATGGAGAAACATCTTCTAATATTAATAAGATGTTATTTCTATATTCATTCTAACAACATGCCAACCCAGGAAAGCTAAAACTAAGATCAAAATGCTGTATAGTATACCACTTGTTTTCTTAAGAGCTTAGATCAAATAAGCAATTAAGTTTTGTCACTTTCAGAGAACTTTTGTTCCTGTTAAACTATGTAATACTACAGTATTTCCTGGTTTTACTTTTCTGGATTGTTTACATAAACTGCATTAGCCATGTTGACAGGTGATAGTCTGAATATGTTTAAGAGTTATCCAAACATAGATTAAGAAACACCTACATTTGACAGTGTTTCATATTTAGTGTTTTT